ATCGATGCCAAACAGAGAAGGACAAGGAGGGGGAAAATAAGATAAAAAGAATAAAATAAAGATAAATAAGTATAAGACAAAAATAACATAAGAATATAAGAAAGATAAAAGATAGAAAGATAAAAGACCATAAAAAAACTAGAAGATAAAAATAACATAAGAATATAAAAAAAAAAATAAGATAAACGATGAAAGAAAAGAGAGAAGAAATGTAGAAAAGACATCAATCGTCATACCCTCTGTGAAAGTATATTAGAATATACTTTAGAATGCTTTAGAATATATTAGGAATATACCATATATATTATTATTGTATAGAATTTTATATAGGAATAGTCTATTTGTAATGTATATTTATAGGGACTTCCACAACTAATGAAAAACACAGAAAATCCATCTCTTCATCTTTAGTATTCTAATTCAACTAGTTTATATTTCAACATGGTATCAGAGAATTTAGACTTTTATTAGAGCATCAAAGAAATTTCAGAATCTCAGCTTGTTCTTCATAGAATCAGTTCTCAAATCGTCAAAGCTTTCAGCTCTTTCTTCATCACCGCCACTCCCAGAGGGTGCTGTTGCTGCCGGCGACAGAACCATGAAGTCCGAAGCAGAAAGTTGACGCGCGTGCAAGGTAGTCAAAGTCGAAAGGCGCACTTGAAGCGCTAGGGGCCTTCCAGCGCCTGAGGCGCAAGGCGCAAATAAAGCGCTCGCCTGACTCGGGTGAAGCGCATTACTTAGATAAAATAACATATACTATTCTATAATTACCAAATATGATGTATGTAACATCATATTGAACCAAATGCATATAAAATCCAGGATTCACCAATTTAAAGTCATGATTTACAAAAAATAAAACACCAAATTCAGAATTCATGGCTTTAATACTAAAACTATAAATAAAAGACAATCAAATTGGAGCCTATTTCCCCTTGTTAAACTTGTGAGCCTACATAGTACTATTACTTTATTAATAAAATAGCAATATACTAGTGCTGTGAGTATCATAGAGTAATACAGAGTATTATGACTATTATATACAAAGCAATATACTAATGTTGTGAGCCTGTGAGTAATATAGAGTAATACTGAGTACTATTACTTTATTATATACATAACAATATACTAGTGTTGTGAGTAATAGTGTAATGCAGAGTATTAATACATTATTACGAGTAATATAGAGTATTATATACATAGTAATATACTAGTACTTTATTATATACAGAGAAATATACTATAAGAGTATTTGGATGAAGAAGACTGCATGAAGAAGAACACATATCTTGTTTAGTGGTGTGAGGGAGAACTGAGTTTGCTTAAGATGATGAAGAAAACTGAAAGAACTGGCTGGTGTAGAGCAACTGAGTCAGAACTCAGAAGAGTGAGTAGGCTGAAGAGCCGATGATGGCTAGTGATATAACTTAGTCGCAAGGTTTTAAGTTTTTACGTACTTTACTTAAAGCTTTTACGTAGGTTTAAATGGTTTTACCCTATTATTTAGATGGGTTGAGTGTTATTAAAGATATGGGCTAATTATATTTTAAAGTTTTAAACCAAAAAAAAGGCTTGTCAGCCTTTTCTGGATCAGGCGAGCCAGGCGTGCGCCTCCTGCGCTTCAGCGCTTCATGCGCTTCATGCGCTTATTCTGCGCCTGACCCAGGTACGTGCGCCTCCCCTTCTCCCAAGCGCTGAAGGCCCTGCTCGCTGCGCCTGGTGCGCTTAAGCGCTGGGGCGAGCGCTTTTGACTACCTTGCGCGCGTGAGTCGCACGCGCCGCCAGAAGCTTATGTCGACCACCGCACGCGACGGCGCGTGAGCTCTTTTTGCTGGCCGGTTTTTTCTACGAATACCACCCATCGACTCGCCTGAGTGTCCTCTATCTACCGGTGTAATTCGTTGCCAGGTTTTCTCGAATTTTGAATTTCAATTTCCTTTCCATATGTCTGCCACAGTAGCTTGGAAAATTTTGCTGAACAGTCTGAGCGAAAGAAAGCCTTTCGATTCAGTTACTTTGGCAGATTATTTTGGTGAGCAGTCTTAACCAAAGATTTCAGATTCGTCCAACACTGTATTTCAGATTCTTCATACACATCTGCTGTGAGACCAGTAGGGCAGATTTTGAAAGCTTTATTTTGGGAACCACCCACTCCATTTAAATAATTGATGTACAATTCTGCCATTTAAAAAAAATGGCTTGTACGGGTCAGTTTGGCAGAGAACTAATATGCAATTACTGTAAGAAGCTCAGTCACTTGATCAAAGAATGCAGAAAATTGTTATTCAAAAATCAAGGAAATCAGCTTGCTCATGTTGCTTCCACTACCAGTTCATCTGATGGATCGATTGCTATTTCTATAGACGAGTATGCTAAATTTATTTGCTACCAAGATTCTTTAAAGCATTCCTCTGTCCCTATCTCGGTAGTCGCAAATTCAGTTATTTCAAACACATGTCTTGTTTCATCATCCTCCAAATGGGTCATTGACTTAGGTGCCACAGATCATATGACCGGTAATCCTAGTCCATTCTCATCATTTCACTCATATTTACCTACTTTCAGTGTCACTTTAGCTGACAGGTCTACCTCACCCGTTCTTGGATCCGGTACTGTTGTACCAACTTCTACATTACCATTATCGTCTGTTTTGAGTCTTCCTAATTTTGCATTTAATCTGCTTTCCATCAGTAAAATCACACGTACTCTTAATTGTTCTGTAACATTTTTTCCTGGATATTGTGTTTCAGGATCTGTTGACAAAACAAACTATTGGTAAAGGACATGAGTCGGTTGGTCTTTATATTTTGGATACATCAATCACAAAAGGTATCTCTTGTCTTGGGGTTGGAAATCTATTAGAAGCTCATTACCGATAAGGACATCCATCTCTCCCACTAATGAAACAAATATATCCTCAATTTAATAAGGTGTCATCTATACAATGTGAGTCGTGTGAGTTTGCAAAACATCATCGTACTAGTTTAAGTCCTCGACTTAATAAACGAGCAAATGTTCCATTTGATCTTTGTTCATACTGATGTTTGGGGGGCATGTCCTGTTGTGTCCAAATCTGGTTTCAAATATTTTGTTACATTTGTTGACGATTATTCTCGTATGACATGGTTATATTTTATGAAACGTCGATCAGAGTTATTTACTCATTTTTCTGCATTTTGTGCTGAAATTAAAACTCAATTTAATGTTCTTGTTCGTGTGTTGAGGAGAGACAATGCCCAAGAATATCTCTCTGCTCCATTTAAATCTTTTATGCTTCAAAATGGCATTATTCATCAAACTTCATGCGTAGACACCTCCTCAAAATGGAGTCACTGAAAGAAAGAATCGACATTTGTTAGAAACTGCAAGGGCTCTTCTATTCCAAATGAATGTGCCTAAACAGTTTTGGGCGGATGCCGTGTCTACCGCTTGTTTTTTGATAAACCGTATGCCATCTTCTGTTTTAAACGGTAAAGCTCCTTATCACTGCTTATTTCCAAATAAAGAGTTTTTTCCTATCCCACCTAAAACATTTGGTTGCACTTGCTTTGTTAGAGACGTTAATCCTTATCTTACAAAGTTAGACCCCAAATCATTAAAATGTATTTTCTTGGGTTATTCTCGAGTTCAGAAGGAGTATAGATGTTTTTGTCCAAGTACAGGTCAATATCTTGTTTCCATTGATTCATCATTTCATGAAAATACACATTTTTCATCATCCAAGACAGATATTCACGGGGATAATGATGAAATACTCATTTACTCTGTCACTATACCGGAATCTACACCTTCTGTAGTTATTCCACATGTTACTGTTCCCGACCCCAGACCTCCAGTACACTTGGTTTACACCCGTCGAAACAGAGCACCAGATCACCCTCCGCCCGTGACACCTGTGATTACTTATCCTGATATTGGTCCGACCTCGATCTCATGTCCTGAACCAATACCTGCTTCTTCAGATCTCGTCTCTACATCAGATCTTGACCTTCCGATAGCACTACGTAAAGGTACACGATCTTGTACTCATCCTATTTCTTTATTTGTGTCGTATAGTTAGTTATCCACTGCCTCATGTTCTTTTATTGCTTCCATTGATTATGTTTCTGTTCCCAAATCTGTTAAAGAAGTTTTGTCTCATCTTGAATGGCGTCATGTCATGGTAGAGGAAATGAATGCTGTGGATCTTAATGGTACCTGGGATTTGGTAGACTTGCCTACAGGGAAGAAATCTATAGGATGTAAGTGGGTCTTTGCTGTTAAGGTTAACCCAGATGGATTTGTTGCTCGGTTGAAAGCTCGATTAGTTGCGAAGGGTATGCTCAAACCTGTGGTGTTGATTATTCTGACACTTTTTCTCCAGTTACTAATGGGTTCGAATTCCATTTAGTGCTCTAGTGAACAAATTTCCAAGTTGTTCCCCAGTCTTCACATATCCTGTAGAGATCAATCCTTTTTGTATCTTCTCTCGAATAAAATGACAATCGACCTCAATATGTTTTGTTCTCTCATGAAACACTGGGTTGGGGCCTGGCCCTTTAATTAGTTTTTATATATCGAGCCCAGCCCGAACCCATTAGTTTTGGGCTGGTGTGGCCCAACCTGTTTATGATCACTAGAGCATATCAACAAAGAAGACACACGCTAAGCCTTCAAAAATCATGCAATGAACTCAAAAACAACAAAAATAAATGATTATAATTTTTGTACTTTGGCACACCGGTTAATGGGAGGGACGAGGGAGGGAAGGCTTGCCCCTTATACACCCTGTGGTGGGACCCTTCCCTAGACTTCCCGCCTTGCGGGATGCCTTCATGCACCGGACTGCCCTTTTGTTATATAGACATTTCTTTTCATCTTCTTTTTGTCAAACACTTCATAGACATCTGCTCTGAATCAGATTTTCACGCACATCTGGAAACTTATAGTATGAGCAGCATTATGTGTCATACTTTGAGCAGCATTACTTTGAAGCCCTCATACAAGTAAATTTTCCATACCTTTCAAACATTCCTGTTGGAAAACGGCATCTATCCCAGATTCTATGTCAATTGAGAATATCTTTTCAGTGCACACCTCAACAACTGAAACAAACTCAAGGATGGAAGCAACTTTTTTCTGCATGTCTGGAGATGATGTCTTCAAGATCTCAATGAGGCGAGCAAGAACAGAAGAATCCAGAAGTTCAACCACATTGGGTGTTTTCAAGCTACAAGCAAGTGCAACTTGAGTTTGAACTCAGTCAAGAAACAAGTAAATCAGTGAGTCAACCCTAATCAGATTAGTAGTTAATGATTAACTGCAATGAAACTTTATCATCTCCTATGTCCTAACATCACAAAATTAGACAAAAATACATGCCACATATTTACTTTATTGTTCAAGTAACTATACAAAATATGTTCACGACGACAAAAATTCAACGGGTAGGGGCCTAAGGGTGCGGGTGCTATTGCAAATCTTACCTACTTCTGATAATAAACACATTAAGATTATCATTTTTATGAAGTTTGGATCTAAAAAAAACTACTGAAACCTAATTTTAAAATTGTAAACAATTGCATCAAATATGATTGTTTTGGTAAATGTTTATGATGGGAAAAAAACACTGAGAAGCTCAACAATTCCAGATTATCCAGTATTTACATAACACTTCAAAATACATTACTGCTGGTCAAGGCATGAAAATTAAGCCTTGCATGATTTACCTACATAAGGTGAATAGGTCTCTTAAAACAGAAATAATGTATATAAGGAGCCATGAGTTTTATTTTTTATCAAAATAAATGGAGATATCAGAGACGTTAACATGTGTATAATATATAGCACAAATGGCAATGAAGCAAATCTGAAGATCAAAGACTGTACACAAATAAATATGAAAGAACCTTTTGGTTGATACAGCTTTCTCATTCTCTTTTCCGCCAGATTCCAATCCCTTCGTTGAAAAGTTGATAGGCCCCTCAAAAAACTAAACTTGGAGAAAGAGGGTCATTAAAAAAGACTCTTGGAAACATTTGGAACTTGACTTGTGTGTATAATTGATAAAGCTTAAGATTATACATTATGATTCTGATTTAAGGACATAATAATATATAACATGAATAATCCATTTATTAAAGCAGAATGCTTACAGTTTATTAGCTTACATAAGCCAAAAGCCTAAAAGGTGTGCAATTCATACTTCAAATCTTTGCCAAACATGCAAAAGTGGATTATATAACATGCAATCCCTATATTCTAATAATTCAACAAAGAATCCTCAATGAGAGGTAGTTTCAGACCTTGGATTTCATTTCTTTGCTCGGATCTAGAACTCGACTAAGAATATCAACAACCTGCAGGAGGGACATATCGCCATTAGCAATACAAAATTTATTATAAATTCAATCCAATTTGGGTAGAAAAGTATGGAACAACTACCATTTTTATAAGGTTATTAGACACGTCTAAGTTATTCAGTAAATTTATCAAAGGGTGCAAAATGTTTTCCTCTTCTAGCCTTTGGCAAACTGCATTGCTGTACCAAAAGAGATGAAAAGATTTATTACAAACTTTTTACATGTTCAGCAGTAAAAATCATCTTCCACAACATCAAATCATCAACAAAGCTCAAAGACAAGTTAATAATATCAAACTTGGGGGAGGGGCATAGAGGGTGTTTGTATTTTGGCGGATTGGAAGCAACCCGCTGCAAAAAGCAGCGTTTGCTGTTTCAAAAAAACGGCGGTTTGGGGTAAACCGCTATTACCCAAACACCCCCATAGTCCCAATACAAACTCTGACACGTGATTTTGGATGAGAGACACATAGTGTGATGTGTTAGCATACAAGTCAACACCAATTGTATTAATATAGCTATCAAGCTCCATAGATGGATTGTTTTGAATAGCTGATATTACATGTCCCCATTTGAAGCTTAAGTATGTACAACAGTAAAAGATCTATGGGGGTGTTTGGAAAATGGCATTTCAGCAAAAAATAGCGGTTTGTCCTATTTTATCATTTTCAGCAAGTGAAAACGCTTTTTGGTAAATAGTTGTTCGGCCCTAGAGTTTTTAGACAGAACCGTTGAAATGGAAGTGCGGCTCAGAGTGATAGAACTCTGATATTTCCGACTCAGAACAGTAGAGATTCAGGAAGAATTGATCAAGAAGATGATCAAAAAACCTTTATTGACGTAGAGAAATGTTTACAGAAGGAATACCGTAGTAACAGACAATTCGAGATGCCTAGTCTCCAAAGTCCAAGTCCAACAGAAATGACAGCCTCCTCTTAATCCTCCCCTCCCCTTTCTATTTATACTACCTGTACAATTTATTATTATTATTTCTATTATTAGTCTAATAAGCCTGATTCCTATCGATACCCCCCCCCCCCCCCAAAAAAAACACCTTGTCCTCAAGGTGGGTGATAGAGAACAGCCATAATCTTCCACTTCCACTTCATTCTTGTGCTTCTACCTTCCCAATATCTCACTGATTTCTGAACCGTGAGCTTCAGTAGCTTCACTACTAGTCCTCGCAGTCTTGCATGTCACACAGCTTTCAAACTCTCCCTTGAAGGATGTTCCTTACTGATAAACTCATACATAACTTCATCCGCACACATATCAAGAGAAGGTTCAGGTGGATTTGAATCTTTGTGCTGTGTTTCTCCATCTGCAATAGTTAACTGTTTTGATATTGCTACAAACAGATTTTCCAGAAACCAACCATCATCCCCCATAATCAGTGTGTCCATGTCTTTGATGAGTTGCAGGAACTTGTGACTATGGGAACTCAAAGTTTTGGCATCCGTCAACCTTGTGTGGACCTGCTGCTCTGTCATCTGCAGAAGAGTGATGACACAGTATGCCAAATCCCTATAGTTATGTAATTTTAACTTTACAAACCTCTTGCTGCCCCACATTGTCAACATGAACTCCCATACATTTTCTGACAGCGTGTCCTTTGCTTGTAGATGTTGTTGACCTCTGACAAGAACAGTTTTATCTCCATTTGGGGTTCCAATAGCTGAGAACGGTTGAACAGGGTGAAAAGGATTCTAGTACATCACACCACCACACCACCAAAGTACTGATTATAATCCACCTCATTATGGAACATTTTTACTAATTGATAAACAACCTGTTGTTGATCCCCATTATCAGTCCTTATAAAATAGTAAAAACATTAAACACATTAAACACCTAAAGCCAATCATAAAATTGAATCGTAAAACTCCAAAATGTAGTTTTATACTGCAAAAGTAAAAAAATTAAACAATCTGAATGTACAAACCATCTTTATTATTATTTAAAATTTATAAACTATGTGATTGGGATTAGGGTTTAGGGCAGATTGATATATGGTCATATGTTTACTTATAAATAATTTAAACTATTTGATAATTTAAGAAATTAAGATAAAAAGAGAAGAAAGAATAAAAGGAAACAAAAAAAGAAAAACTTACCTGCGACTGATAGACTATATGTCTAGAGAGAAGTGAGAGCTAGAGAGAGAAGTAGTATATTTGCTTTGTATTAATGAATTGTGAACCCCTACAACTACTCCCAGAGAGAGTATTAATAGGAAAAATTAGGGCTAGGCTCCCAAGTCTTGGGCTTGGGAGGCCCATTTACAATAGGGCCACTAATGGGCCGGATACAAAGTACATAGAAAAGATTAAGCATAAAGTCCTATTCTGGAGGCCATCTGTGGCCGATGAGGGCACGGCCGACGAGGGCGCGGCCGACGAGGTCACTGACTCTTCTTGGCTTCTGGATCACCTTCTGAGTAGACTTCTTCTTGGCCGATGAGGGTCATCTGGCCAACGAGGGTCCCAACAAGCGGTCGTGGTACCTTCTGTTCTCCCGAGTATGTGGGCCTTGGGGTCCAGGCCCATATACTCCATCAGGAGTCCCCCACTCTCTGAGCTGAGATGTAGACGAAGTGAGAGAGAGTAGATTTCCTGTTTCTGACGTTTTCTGACCGTTGTGGGACCGCTATGGGGTTTTCCCTACTTCGGCCGTTGTGAGCACTCTTTGCTTTGGGCTTTGGGCTTTGCGCCGTCATTGGCCGTTGTGGCCCTTGGTGTGGACGGAGAGTGTCGCTTTTCGTGAGTGGCCGATGTAGGCGATGTTTCTCTGCTCCTGGCCGTCGATGATTGAAAATTGTACCCATGGCCGAGGAGACTATTGTGGTCATTCCCCGTTCGAGGACGATGAGTGCCCTTCTTTCTCCGGGTAGCCGGTGAGGGTGCTGCTTGCTTTATGTGGCCGTTGTGGCTCTCATTCTGTGTCTTTGGCTGAGGAGTGATGGTCTCAACTTGGTGTCCATGTTTTGGGGACGATGAGTTCCCGTTTTAATTTCTGGCCGAGAGCGGAGTATACGGGCTCAAAGCCGTTGAGTGCACTGCGATCTTAGGTGTTGCATCTTTGGAGGGAATTCTTTCTGCTTACTTTGCTGCGGCCGGTTATGGACGTTGTGGTGCATATTTGATGTTGTAGTTGTGGACTTAGTATATTTCTGGATTTGTTTGATTTTGTCCTGATTTTCAAAGGCCGGTGTAGTCCCCCAGAGGCCCCAGTCCCCCACTGCTTCAGGCCGAAGAGTAGGTGAGGGGTGAAGGAGTATAGGATTTGCCTAGGCCGAAGCGGACTCTTGCGTTCCCCTGAATCCAATTCCTTGGCGATTTCCTGACCAAGGTAACCCTGTGGGAGAACCCTTGGACGCAGGTCGCTTTCAAGAAATTATCATCAGGGTTTTGCACAAGGCCGATGGCGTGGGGTTTCTTTTTTGCTTTGCCGTTGTGGCTGTTGAAAAGGCCATGCAGTTGGCATTCTTGTTCAAGCCGATATAGGCATATATTGAGATGTGACCTACCCTTTTGAAGTTATCTGTGTGGAGGCCGATGTAGGCGCGCTTTCTTACCGTGGCCGATGAGTGGTTGGGCGTTGCTTTGTTGCCATGATGGCGATGGGCTGATACTGTGGAAGTGGGCCTGACCCGTCTCCTGACCCGGTGTCAACCCAATGGGCCTTGGGAGTGGTGGCCGTTCATGTGGCCAACGGGAGGTTGCCACGTGTAGTGACCGTTGGGGGGAGGTCTATATATACCCCCCTCCCTCCGAGGAGGTTCCTCACTGCATTCCTGAGATAACGAAGTGCTGTCAAATTTTCTAGAGTGAGAAAGCCTTTCCGTGTGTTCCTCCGATCTTCAAAACTTCAAAGTTCAGTTCGTTGAACTTTTCTCCAATTCCCTGTATACTTTGCTTCTTTTAGCATGTGATCCGTTGTTAGTGAAAAAACGCCTTTAGATCCAAAGTAAGAACCTCTAGGCTTTAGTTAGTTGTTATGATGAAGCCCTTGGACGACGAGTACTACCCATATGATGATGAGCCCTCTGTTAAATCCCTTGACTACCGGGTAGTAGAGGAGTGTTGTGAGGATATAGAGGAGCTGAGCTCCTTCAAATCAGGGGAGCAAGAGGGGAGTGAAGGTGAGGACGAAGAGGTCGCCTCGTCGTCTGATGGTGAGGACGTAGTGGCTTCCCGTGCTGTGGACGGAGCGTCTACATCGGCTGCAATTGCTTGCCCGAAGTCGGTTTCTGCTGTGAAGGGAGCTGCCCCGACGAGAAGGCGTCGGCCGAAGAAGGGGCCAGGTTACTCCTACCTGGACCTCACGAACCTCTATCTGATCAAGCCGAAGAGCAGTGAGGCTGACTACTTGGTGGCCCAGATGTACGTGGGGCCGTATGGGAGGGTTAGGGCGCCCAGGCCGACGGATCATGTGTTGAATCCACCTTCGGGGTATTTTGGAGTATACCCCATGAGTTTTGCAAAGGGGCTTAGGTTTCCCCTCCACCCGTTCATTACGAAGTATCTGGACATGGTGGCTCTCCCTTCGGCCTTGTTGACTCCGAACAGCTACTCACTCATCGTCGGCTTCCTCCTCCGTTGCGATGAGTTAGACTTCAGGCCGACGACGGCTCTCTTCATGAACCTATACCAGATTGGCCGGGGGAGTCACAAGAATTATGCCGGCTACACAAATCTTCAACAGCTGCCGAAGAAGAGGAGTTTTACTGACCTCCCTTCGTCCATTCATGGTTGGAAGAGCAAGTTCGTCTTCGTATCGTTGGGTGAGGACAGCACGGAGTTTCCCTCAGTCGGCCATGACAATAGGTTCAACCTTCACAATGTGCCGAAGAGCAGTATCTTGGATGCCCAGGTGGCGGCATTTCTGAAGGGGGGGCTGAGGAGCGTAAAAGAGTACATAACGGAGTACAAGATGACCGCCCTCGGCTTCTTCAGGTACTTTGTTTATGGTGACAAGGAAAGTGACACCGAGATATGGCCGAGGATGACTACCACATTTGAGGAGACCGATGGCCCGGATTTGGGTGTGCCCGCTGACGCTGATGGTAATACCCTCCCTGGCGTCTTCGTCCATTTTTGCTTTTGCTTTTGCTAATTGTCTATTGTTTTTTTTTGTGCAGACTTCGTTATGGATCGTAGATCCGTTATGGCCCTAGCCAA